CCACCTCACCCCACCCAACCCAACCACGACTCCAGGAGTTTTCTCCGGCAGGCGTTTTCCGGTGCGATGCAAGCAGGGAGAGCCGGATGTTGCCTTGTTTTTTTTTGTTTTGTTTTGACTTTCTCAAGATACAAAAAAGAAGAGGAAAGGTCAGGCAGTTTGAGTTTTAGTTCGGTTATTGTTGTAGCGAGGTGATTCATGTGTATTCTTTTTAGTTCACGAGCGGCCAGAGAGAGCAAACTGCTGGTAGAAAACCCTCTTCGCCAGCCTGTATCAAACACTGTGCTTTTGTTCTGTCTGTTGTTGCGCTCTCACCTGGATGCCTTTGCTCTTGTTGAGGTTCACCTCCATGTCCTTGAGGACCTCCCGGACCGACATGTCCTCCGCGTCCACGATGCGGAAGGACGTTATGTTGACGAAGTTGTACTTGAAGTCCTCGAGGTCGAAGCTCTCCATGTCCTGCGTCCAAAATATGAAAGGAATGTACAGAATGACCCTTTCCATTTTTCTTAATTATTTTTCTTTGTTTTTTTGCTCGGCCCTTTAGACCCTTGTTAGACTTGAACACATCCGGGCAGGCGAGGCTTGCGAAAAGGAGGAAGAGATTAACGATGCCACGATGAGAACGTACTATTCGCGCAACTCGCGAAACAAACAAAACACACGCTCAAGCGCAACAGTAAATCAAATTTTTGCCCCCCAAAAAAACAAAAAAAAAAAAAAAAAAAACCCCCAAAAAAACACAAAAAAAACGCCAACACAAGAAAACACACTCACAAACGTAGTGAAGACAAAGTGGTACTTGTAGTCGTTCATCTGCAGCTGGAGCACCTCGCGCAGGAAGAAGCGCATGGTGTCGGCACGCGTGTCCACGATCAGGTTGTAGATCTCCTTGGCCTTGATGTCCTTGAGGACGGCCCGGTAGTAGGCCGGGTCGGCCTGGCGCACGTACAGCTCCGTGTCCTCCCGCACCAGATCACGCAGCCGCATCAGCCCTGAGCAGCGTGTATTAATATTCTATTATCGCTCTCTCTCTCTCTCTCTCTGTCCCTATAACTACTATGTAAATAATGCACGCCGAAAATACTATTTTCATTAATAAATATCAAATCTCTCTCTCTCTCTCTCTCTCTCTCTCTCTCTCTCTCTCTCTCCCTCCCTTTCGAGTAGATTTGACACTGTGAAAAATGTAAATTTACGAAAATTTTGCAAACTCGAATTATAGTTTAAGTTGTAAATTTACGAAAGCACATTTTTTTACTCGCCAATTGATTTCGTGTCGATACATACTGAATGTATTTTTACGATTTCAAATTTTAATTTAACAACTTGGGTCAAGGAAAATTTTCCTGTAAACCTTCCTACTATTTTCGACAGTGTGAACCACTGGTGTCCAGCCGTCTTTGCAGGAGCCGCGCTGCATTGCATATTGCTAGGGCCTTTTACTTTTAACACAACTACAAACTCATCGAGGCACCAGGGAGGAAAAGAGAGAAAGGGGGGAGGGGGGAGGAGGGGGGAGGAGCTGCTGCTGCCAATAACGGTGATCCGGCAGTTTTGAGACAAGGCGCGGCTACTGGAGTATGAAGGCGAGTCTGCTAGTGATCGTTAGAGATGAGCCAGAGCAGAGCTGGCTTCGTCGGGTTGCAAAGACTTGACTCTCACACACTGCCGTCACATTTGATCCAATGTGCAGCTGTGTCCCATTTGTTTATAATGTCATGTCCCATTCGTTAGAACGTGATTTGCACTTGCCTCGCTTTGCCCTCAATGGCTCAGCAGAGTATGGCGGTAGAACGTTATAACGAATGTGACACAACATTCCAACCAATGTTACTCGAGTCTCAACCGAACACGAGTGCACCATTGCACAATACACGGGTTTTAGGGTTCAAAACTTCAGTGAACCTATGCTGTGTATTTTTTAATTGCTTTTACTTCATGCGGGAGATTTTATTTCAATTCGGTTTGCGCTCTCACCCGAGTCCTCCTCGTAGATGACGGCCACCTTGGTCCAGTTGAGGAAGCCCATGAGGTCGATGAAGGCCCGGTTCAGCATGTCCTGGCTCGGGTGCAGGTTGATGGAGAACTCGCGGTAGTGGGTGTCCGGGTCGAGGCGCACCTCGAGGTGCGGGATGTCGAGCGCGTCGCAGACGGAGTGCACGTGCGTGCCGAGGAGCGGGTCCGTGGGGCCGAACAGCGCGTGCACCCCGCCCCCCACCAGCCGGCAGGCTGCAACACAGACGAGAGTAGGAAATGCATTTTTTTTTTCAACGAACAATTCCGGAAAATTTACAAAACTTCCACAGTCTGAGAAATTTTCGATTTTAATTTTCCTGAAAATTTCAGTTCTTTCCCGAAATTTTCCTGAAAATTTCCTGACAAGAGACACCAAAACATTAGATATTAATTGTTTGTTTTTTGTGCCAGTAAATTATTTTTGTAATTTTGTTTCGTCTTTTTATATTCTATTTTTGATTTGATTTTTGGTTTTATCTTTTCTGCTGTTGTGCCAACAAGAACTCTACGGTGTCTTTCTGCCAGTGGCGCACCTTAAAAATGTCATTGCTTTACATGCAGAAGAGAAACAGGAACAAAATTGACCAAAATTTATTTTCTTTTAGTCACCAACTACTTTTAGCCACCAATAAGGTGGCAGCTCTGACGGCAGTAGCGCGACAGAGACAGCAGCGAGGCAAAAAAAAATGATAAGACTCTCTTTCTCTCTCTGGCTTATCGGAGTGCCCGACGCGCGGGTGGTCCCCGTCAGTCTCCACGAGGCCGCCCAGCCGCCTGCACGCACGGCGTTCGTTTGGTGAACGTATTCGCTCCGCACCCCCTCCTTCTAAGTAGTGCCTCGCCTACCACGACGATGTGGGTCCCGGTCTTCCTGGCCGCGGCCTGCCTCGCGACCCTGGTCGCCGCGGCCCCGTCGCCAGCCCCACAGCTCCCGCCGGAGCTCCCCATGGAGCACGAGACCGCCGCCCAGGATCCCAAGTCCAAGGGGTAAGTTTACAAATAGAAAATGCACGGGCCCAACAACTAGAATTATTTTCTTTAAAAAAAAAAACTGATTAATTTTTGTCAGAGGAAATGAAACTCCTTTTCATAGTTGTCATTTTTTTTTTGAAATGAGAGTTAGTTGTGAAGTAGTTGTGCAATTACCATTAGCAGTGTAAGACAACAGACATGTGAACTAAATATCATAGGCATGACATTTCCCCCATTTGTTTTCGGATAATTTAAAACTTGAAACTTGATAGCAATAACTTTCCCAAGTTGCATGACAGGTCGCCATGCGGGTGTTAACGGATCAGTGTCGACATGTTGTGAAATCAGGCGCTGAGGTCTCTACACATCTGCGAAAATCTTCACTCTTGCCAAAGTTAGATTAGCATCTGCTGCAAACATTTCCTGAGACTAGAGCGAATATTTCCGTCTTATTTTGAACTTCTGGTATTTTTTTTTAAATCTACTTTCAGCGGAGCGGAACTGTATTATTCCGGCAAGACGTGACACAACATCGTGAAAATGCTTAAAATTGTAGTAACTGGAAAACTTGTGAAAATGGCGAAACTTATGAAAATTGTCAGACATGTAAAAACTACGTAAAAATTGAGAGACTGGTGGAAATATTGATAATGGTGTAAATTTCGCAGGATGTTGGAGAGCCGGATCCGGCGCCTGAGCGTCGGCCAGCACTACACGATCCAGCAAAAGCATCGCAAGTCCGTCGCCAAGCCACACGCGGGCCGCCTGACCGCAGCATCCACCGACCCCATGCACGCCGCGTCCCAGGACCCGGACGGAACCGCCGATCCGACCCTGGAGGGCCCAGACGTCGGTGAGCGGATCATCCGCGTGCCCAAGAGGAGGAACCCGACGGGCTGCCGCTACTACCAGCGCACGGACGTGCTCGGCCAGTGCCGCAACCGCTGGTGAAGTTTTCACCATTTTTTGTTGTTTTATGTATAGCGATTTATCTTGCAAAATCACCTGTTCTGCGATCCGTTTACAACTAATTTTGTGACAGCTGTGTCTTTGATTTCACGCCTAAACGGCCAGCCTTTGATGCGTGAAGCATTTGCGTTGGAGTGGTGGGCGGTGGAGAGAGGCCGCGCGAGAGAGAGAGAAAGAGAGAGAGAGAGAGAGAGAGAGAGAGAGAGAGAGAGAGAGAGAGAGAGAGAGAGAGAGGTGCTATGATACCCTCGTCTCTCTCTGTCGCTCATTCAACTCTCTTGCACTTACGGAAGCCATTTGGCGAGTTGCCACCACCTGGCCTATGAGATGGCAAGGAGGTGGGGGGAGGGGGGACCCCCTCGGACGTAAAGTGATGTAGTATTAATGTAATAGTGTGTACATAACCAAAGTATTACTGCGCAGGTTCCTATGTCTATCGTAACTAGATTAAGAATAAAATCATGTACCTCGTTATGACAACAAAGTGTCGGCCACATTTCAGACCCGCGCTTCTGCCTCGCGCGCCAGCGAACCACATACACATCGCACACGATCTATCATCCAAAACTGCTGTTCAAACAGTCGCAGATCGCCACATGGTGTGGTGGCCTTGTCTCCCCAATGATAAGTAATTATAGTAATTCATCACGATATTCATATCTCTTTCACATAATACAACCCCCCCTCCACCCACCCTCCTCTATCTCTCACGTACACTGCTCGCACAAATGAAAAATAATCATAAAGCAGAACGCAGAACGCACCCACTGTCAAAACCTTTAGCGCAAAAGATCACACGGAGCGATGGAAATGGGAAAGGGAAAGAAAACTGCGTCGAGAAGCAAAGCGAGGAGGCGAAGTTTCACACGACCACGTCGGGTCAGGCTGAGAGCGGCTTCGGCCTGCGTCAGCCGGGACGACCTTACGATAACCTACCCCCCCCCCTCGCCCCCTTCCATCCACTACATCCGAATTCTTGCCTCACTCTCTTCTACAGTTAGTAAGTCCCGCCACCACCACCTCCAAAAAATAACCTTCTATATAGAGCGCAGCGCCTTTTACGCGAGCATGCAGAGGCTTGCGAGCCAGAGTGCACCTGGGCAGGACAATGTTGTGATGGTCGGTATGAGTGGAGACGTAACCGGCGAAACGAAAGCAGAAACCAATCAACAACAACAACAAAAACAAAAGAATAGTTCGCAATCCCCATTCCATGTATGTATCCCTATACGGCGACTTTTCTTTTGGCCGCATCGCGCCGAAGAAGATCGAAGTGCTGTGGATGCTGTGCGTGACCACTGGCCGTTGTGCCATCAGAGTTTTGGGGCTGAGAGAGTAAGTGAGAGAGAGAGAGAGAGAGAGAGAGAGAGGGGGGGGGGGAGTGTCCAGTGATTCATGTTCCATGGGAGCAGTTAACTCTCTTCCGTTTGACGCGGGGGCCGAACCCGCCACACGGCGCCGCTCTTCTCTCTCTCTCTTTCGCTCTGGACGACGTTATCTCCCTGCCCTGTGGAGCGAATAAGTATAACAAAACAAGCGGGAGGGGAAATGCGAAAAGAGAGCAGCGTGCGGCAAAAATAAAAAAAGAAAAAGAAAAAAGAAAATGGCAAAGGTGGAATATATGATTTCGCGCCGCCCGTCAAATCAAACGGTCTTTCCGGAACGTCATCATTTCCCGTCGTGCTGCGTCTCTTTCTCTTTGAGAATCCTCTCTCATTTCCTTTCGCTCTCTCTCTCTCTCTCTCTCTCTCTCTCTCTCTCTCTCTCTCTCTCTCTCCATCTCCCTCCCCGCCCGGATGCAAGTGCCTATGCTGCGCCTATGATGTGACTCCTGCCACTCGCCATCGATCAGCGTCGACGGCGCGCGCTCCGTTCACCTGGAAGCAAGATGCTCAGCCGAGTGGGATAAGGGTGCGGCGGCGCTAACGACTCGGCAGCCACATGGCGTTTAACAAAGACAGGCTGGAAAAAGATTGGGGTTAGCGGTGGGAAGGAATTCCGTGTTTCTTCTTCTTCTTCTTCTTCTTCTTCTTCTTCTTCTTCTTCTTCTTCTTCTTCTTCTTCTTCTTCTTCTTCTTTTCATTACAAAATCTGAATTCTCAGAAACCTGATGACAAGGTGAATACCTTAGCGGGATATTCGTGCCTGTACTATGGCACTCCAGATGTACTTATTTTCCTTTAATAAATAAATAAATCAATGAATAAATAAATAAATAAATGAAAATTCTTCTTCTTCACCTTCTCTCATGTCTCATAATTGAGGGCCCTCCTAAAGGTGGATTCAGAGTTCACAAGATGCGAGCGTGATTTTCACGCCCCTAGCGTGAAAAGAGTTGTTTTGGTTAGCAGTTGACTTTATGTAACTGTAGTAGGGCACTAAATTAAAGTAAAGCTAATCATACATAATAAATGTCCGAATGCAAGACTCAAGGGATTCTTTCCCAAGGAGACTTCTTCGTACACCCCCAAAAAATCTCTACGAACCATAGGAAGACAAGGAGACAAATCAAGAGCAAATCAAGGGGAAAAAAACGAGAAAGCGTAAATTAAGAGTGAAAAAACAAGAAAAAACCCTTAAAAAAATCAATAAAAAATCAAAAGAAGAGTCAGGAGAAAATCAAGAAACATTAAAGTTGCAAAAATAAGTAAACTTGGTTTACAATTAAATTCTTGGAGTAGAAAGTGCGGCCCTGACTCACCCTGTTTGGCGGCGTGGAACGAATCCTCACGCGCCACGTACTCGATGTGAAAGCGGAGCTCCGTGTGCGGCAGCAGGATGGGGTCCTGGTTGATTCGGTAGACGGCGTACTTGAAGGCGAGCTCGGCTGCGCTGTCCCGCTGGTCCTCGGTGAAGATGGCACCTGCGACACAGGAAAAAAATCCGTTACAACGGGGCATTTAAGATGAGCGAAGAGGTCACTGATCCACTATAAAAATGAAAACGAACAAAATCAGCCCCCAAATTTTAAATAACCAAACCGAAAGCGTACAACAAGATTTTCTCCGTAGCCAACTGAAGCAAACAGCTTTCTGTTCAAATACGAGCGAACAAGCATATCGGTTACAAATTAGCACCCTCGCTATCCCCCACCACCAGTTAAGAAATAAAAAATTAAGATTAGTTAGTTGATTTGGGTATGTTTCAGCGTGATCTGGGTGTGATCAAACGAGATCTGGCGTGATTTGATTATAATCTGGTGTGATTTGGCATGATTTGGGTATAATCTAGTGTGACCTGGTGTGATCAAGGTAAGATCAGGCGTATTATGGTGTGATTTGGGTATGATCCGGCGTGATATGGCGTGATTTGGGTATGATCTAGCGTGCGATATGGCCTGATTTGGGAGGGTATGATCTGAAGTAATCTGGCGTAATTTGGGTATGATCCAGCGTGATATGGCGTGATTTAGGTATGATCTGGAGTGATTTTGGTATGATCCAGCGTAATCTGGCTTGATTTGGGTATGGTCAGGCGTGGTATGGCGTGATTTGATTATTATCTGCGGTGATCTGGCGGGATTGGGGTTGATCTGGTGTGATCTGGCGTGATTTGGGTATAATCTAGCGTGATCTGGTGTGACTAAGAAAAGATCAGGCGAAATATGGCGTGATTTAGGAATGATGGAGCATGATAAGGCGTAATTAAGGTATGATCTTGCTGAAATGGCGTGATTTAGGTATGATCCGGCGTGATACGGCGAGATCTTGGTATGATCTGGCGTGATATGGCCAGATTTGATTCTGATTTGGCGTGATCTGGCGTGATTTGGGCATGATCTGGTTTGACCTGGAGTGATCATACCTAAATCACGCCCTGTCACGACAGATCATACCTTAATCACACCAGATCACGCTAGATCATATCTAAATTACGCCAGATCACGCCGGAATATACCCAAATCACGCCATATCATAACTTAATCACGCCAGATTATATTTAAACCACACCACATCACGAAATATCGTTACTAAATTACTCCAAATCACGTCGGATCATACCAAAATTACGCCATATCACTCCAGATCATACCTGAATCACACCAGATCGCGCTAGATCAAACCCAAATCATCCCAGATCACGCCGAATCATACCTCAATCACACCAGGTCACGTTAGATCATACTCAAATCACGCCGGATCATCCTCAAATCACGCCAGATCACGCCAGATTATATCTAAATCATACTAGATCACGCAGACGTGTCTCGGCCCGCGAACTAATCGGAGTGAGTACTTGTAGTCCGCGCCGCCTGAAGTGTAAATATATTGCTGAATTCCTTTCAAACGCCACTCTCCGTTTGAGCTACACTCATCCGATATCCGTAGGTAGGGTGATAACACGTCACAGAACGGATTCTCGATACCCTACCATACAAATTCTGACTCTGCCCTCGCTCTTCTGATGGCCATACCACAGCCTGGCATTGCGCCCAGGATGGACCCTTGTTCTTGTTGTCACAGTTTTGTTGTGAAACACGAACTCGTGGTGACACCCTGCAGACATGGTTGCACCAAATCACGGCAGACATAAACCGCCTTCACCACCACCACAAGCGCACAATCACAAACACCACGTGGCTGTCAGACACAGGGAAGAAAGGTGTCTCTACTTTGTAAGGTTATAACCACACAACGCTTAAGCGAGAAAAAACACGCGCAAGACCACGCAGTTTAAATTACGAGCTTGCTCAAGTCTCTCCGTGAGCGAGTGCGAGACTGCTTAATTCATCAGTCGCGCGGCTGAGCCTTTCTCGACGGAAGGTATCGATGCAGTGATGCTGGTTAATGTTATTTAGCCTTGAGAGACTTGTTAAGTTTTCAGTTTAAACTGACGTACTTATTGAGTCACGTAATAAACATCAAACTTGTTCTATAGATTTGAAGAGTGCCAAAAGTTCAGGGTTTCATAACTTATCATAACATAAAACGAAAGAAAGTTGGTTACTCAACATAACAAACCAATTTTGAAATATGACCGATGTTAACTGTGACTAATAAAGTGAAAAGTTCGAACAAGTCGCATAACTAGATTACAACCAAAGAACTACAGTAAAAAGTTACAAGTTATAACTGCAATCTTTAGAATAACGTGTTAAAGGCAGTTTCAAGGAATGAGTTACGAAACCCTGCAAAATTAATTCGATTCAGGCCGAGGAGTGAGACCCTTCCTTTAGCAGAGCCACCCTCTGATTGAGGCAGCTGAAGGTCCGCAGCACCCACTCCCCCCCCCCCTATCTCTCTCTCTCTCTCTAGGCCGCGCCCCCTTGACTTGCCAAATGAGTTGTCACTTCTCACTTGCCCAACAGCCGCACGGTAAGGCACTGCTGAGTCGCTCTGGCGAAGCATTCGTCGGGCGAGCGAGAGAGAGTGAGAGAGAGATAGAGGGCGCGAGAGATGGGTGTGGGGGAGGGGCAGAGGTTGGCGGTGGCAGGAGTAGTATGCATTTTGCATACATTTAGGGAGAGGGGGATTTGTGGGCTCCCCGGTTATGACCGTCGGTATGAAATGGGAGGGCGATGAGAGCGAGAGAGATAGACGGAGAGAGAGAGAGACAGACAGGGAGACAGACGAATAGAGAGACAGACGAAGGGACAGACAGAAGGGTGAAAAGACGGAGAGACAGATGGACGCTGAAGGGACGGACGTTTCTTTCATATATGTCTTACAATCAGTTATTTTTTTATTTTTTTTAAATCTCTCATTTTCATGCTTCCCCTTATTCTTTTCCAGCCTTCGATCGAAAAGAAAAAAACAAACAAAAAAAAAAACAGCGTAAACATTTACAAAAGTCGCAGATGGAAAATCCGAGCAATTCAAAAAGTAAATTCCACAACTTATTACAAACTACCGAAATGATTAAGAAAAAAGACGTTGTGACAGTTTGTGACCGACATATGCAACGTCCTGCATGCATCGTCCCGGTAGCCGAACGACCTTACAGAAGAGCACGAGTGTAACGGGACGCCGGTGTTGTGCACGGACTGCGGCTCTGCCGGCGTAAGCACGCCGTTAGTGCGGTTCCGGTGGCGGCGCGCGCGGGACGGAGCGGAGGAGCGGAGGGGTCGGACGTGTTTCGTGCCGCTCCGTCTCCCCCCTTCTGGTTTGGTGGTTCAAACTCGGTTTTACAGGAAG